TGTAGTTATGGAAGAGATTCTGGAATCCAGATCCTGTTGTTTTAACCACTTCATTATGGAACTTTACTAGCTTGCCTCATGATTAGCAGAATAAATAATGTAGAAGATGATGATTAAACTCCTTTCCTTCCCTGATTGTATCTGTAGTGTGTGATCGTCATTGTTGCTGTCCTTTATACACACCGAGTATCTTCATCTAAGGGTCACCAGGAACCTTTGGTTGCCTGGAGGCAAGAGTTATTATTCACATTTTACAGATGGGTAAGCAAGCACAGAGAGGGAGCATGCTCTGACTTACCTAAAAGAGCCTCTGAGAGAGTGGGGGATGAACGTTCCCACAGTCTTTAGAGAGACCTGACTTCACAGTAAATCAGTGAGATTTCTCTGTGTCATTTATTCAGATACTTCTGCAGGCTCGGCCCCGAGACATGAAAAATCCCCAATAACGAAAATATTTTTAAAACCCAACTCATTTATTTGATTTTTTAATTTGTGTTGAAATCAACCTAATTCCAGCGCAATGAAGTCATTTCACCTTGGCAGGTCTGAATAGCACAGTCATCGAAAAGGAGAGAGGGAGCGAGTGCCCCAATTTCTAGAACTTCCGCTTAAAATGAGCATAGACAAGATTCACTTATCTGTTTCCTGACCAATTAGGTCATTGGGCAGGAAATCACCTTTTCTGAAAAGCCAGTAAGCGAATTCCTTCTACTTTAGATTTCCCATAAACAGCACTAATGATCATTTATACCAGCCCTTCTGTAGGAATGCTGCAAAGTCAAAGACATGAGACCATTTTGTTTTCCAGTTGAAAAAAAAGTTACAAGTGTATAGTAACTGGCAGCTTCCCCACTTCCCTTCTCCCAATTCTCACTCAAGTGATTCCACCACCTGTCAGCACCCTTCATTTGTTTCCTATATTTGAGACCCTATTAAGCAAGATAACTTTCTAATCCCAATCAGGTTGTTAAACCTTCAACCAGACAGGGTCAGTTTTAGACCACGTGATTTGCGTGCATCCAGCTGCCGGGCCAGGTGAGCAAGATGGAATACCTTGCCCAGCCAGGGCCTGCACGTCGTTCTGGAAACCCCTTGCCCTGGGTTATCACTGCACATCAGAAGAGGAAGCTGAGTGTGGAGCCTAAGTGGCAGCAGAGTTGAGTGATAAGATGCTCACCACACACCCCATTAGTGTCTTCCCCAAGATGGGCCTTTGGGCTCTTCTCAGGCCCTTCCTGGGGCCCCCCTGGCCAGCAGAGTAGCAGGCTGTTTGACATCATGAGCCTGGAGCATGCTCATTGCAGCAGAGGCTGAGCTCCTATCAGCCTGGCCTCCAACACTGGCTCTGTCTTACCCAACCGTGTGACCTTGGGGTAGTTACTTAATCTCCCACAGACTTAGTCCGTCAATATGGATGATAGTACCTATCTCCTAGAGTGGTTGTGAAGTTGTAAAAAGATGGAACTAAGATATGCAGCTCAAACAAAATATAAAGGGCTCCCCCTATAAAGGGCTTACCTAGTGCTTAGCATATAATACTTTAAAAATGTTGTCTTTCCTTATCATTAACAGTCAAGGCCTTGCTGTTTTTGCTCTTGTAGGTGACTTAATGTCTGTAAGCACTCCCGATAATTTATCTCTTCAAGCTCGCTCACTCAGGGTTTCCACTGGGGACTTTTCCATGGTCATTGGCCCCCACGGCCCTTAGTTAGGACCTGAATTTACCTGTCCAGACAACAGCAAAGTATATAGTATTTTTAAACACTGTTTAGGAACAGGGAATTCTGTAAATAGTGGCTACTAGCCCAATGTGGCTCTGATTTCTGAGAACATCTTCTAGACCTGGGGCGCTCTTACAGTTTTATTACCAAGAAAATGTTTTGAGTGCTTAACTAATTAGCATTTCTTAATGACTCACAGGTAGCTTTTCCCTGGCAAACTTTAAGGCTCAGCCTCGCTTCATCCTATCACTTAGCAGGCATCTAAGCAACAAGCTTCCAGAGTCTGCTTGAAAAATGCAAACCTATTAACTTTAGCTGAAGCAAGACAGAATTAAGGCTATAGATCTGCTGCTATAATAAGTATATAACACAGTTCCATATTCAGTAAGAATAACTTATGAACAACTATTTTTTTAACCAGTATTTATTAAGCACCCTCTGTGTCTCAGCCCTCATGCTAGGTGCTTCAGGCATACTAGCACAAACCAGATGTGGATTCGGCCCTTTTGAAATATACATGAGGGGTGATAAGAAAAGCACACAAGTTATAGACCATAAAATAGGCAAAGGCAGTAACACGAGAGAGTGAAAATATTATGGGGGTTTGAGGTGGAAAACTTGGTTCTGTGATGATCAGGGAAGTGGCATGAAGGAAGCAATCTTGAGGACACCCTGTGGACACAGAGGCGTTCCGGGTGTGGAGGGGCTGTGGAGAAGGAGTGGTAAATTGGAGCAAAATCCAGTCCCATGTGAGGTGGGACAGGGTGGGAAGGCAGCTTGAGCATAGGCTGAAGAGCCTTGAATGCCAGTCGTAGGAGCTTAGAACCACTTGGAGGCACTTGGGGGCCACTGAAAGCTTCTGAGCATGCTGATCATAAACGTCAGGGTAGTGTGTTTAGGGGGGTTAACCAGGCAGTAGAGCAGAGGGTGGGCTTCTAGTAGGGAAAGACCGACAGCGGCGTGGAGCTCGGGTAGGAAGCTAGAGCTTCATCCCCAGGTGAGAGCCCAGGAGGGTCTGATCAAAGGTTGGGGTAGGAAGGATGGAGGGTAGGGAAGGGACGCAGGTGAGATTTTACAGGTAAGCCAATAGAACTTTACCATTTACTGGAAGTGAGGAGCATGGGAGAAGGAGAAGTTTAAAAACAGACCCGAGGTTTCAAACCAGATTGAATGGAAGGCCTAAAACAGGGACAAGAAAAGAAGAGTAAGTCTCTATGGAAAATGGGACCTTATTGGAAGACAGTGAATTTATGGCGCTAAAATTCATTACGTCAGGCTCACAGTTCTTGTGGTTCAAACCAGCAGACAGGTGCTCAGGCAAGTCAGAGGCTGAGACAAAGGCTTAGAGCTCATCCACGTAGCGCAGACATGGCAAGCTTGGTGGGAATGAGTCATGCCTGACTCATAAGCATGCTTATTTATGTGTTTTTAAAAATTAACTAATTAAACCAACATTTAAAAATCAGGATATTGTACTTAAAATATTGATTTCTGGCATGTTCTAAGAAGCAAAAATGCAGCTGACTGTGAACTCAGTTTTTCACATGATAACAGCTATTGGAGCTGAACAGGGGATTCCCCCTTGAGATCTTAGCCGAATTCTCTAATTCACCGCAGTCTCCACTACTCCCCGTTCTCCCCTAACACTTCAGAGTAAACAAACGGAGATTAGTGGTTGCCTGGGGGTGGGGGCAGGAATGAAGAGCCAGAGGCTCACCCTTAAGGGGTGTGGGGCTGCCTTTTGGGGGGATGAAATGGTCTAAAGTTGATTGTGGTGCTGGTTGAACAATTCTGCACACAGTAAAAACCATTGAGCTTTAAATGGGTAGACTGTATGATGTGTGAATTATCTCAATAACACTGTTTTATAAAAATGCACAAAAGGAAAGTCATCAGTTGCTCGTGCCCTTGTACTTGTAGCAGAAAGCGTTTCTCTGTTAATGTGTCTCTGTCAAGCAAGGAAAAATGAAAAATAGACCGAGGTTTTTTAAAGAAAAATGGAAGAGTATGTACCTTTTTTGTGATCGTAAACACTTTCTACATGCTTAAAATATAAACACCTGGCATCTGTATTGACTTATTTCCTAGCCACTGAAGGCACAAAGTTTAGGAAAAATTTTGATCGTAGCCAGCTCATGAAGTCCACCCACTTAGAAGAGAAGGAGAAGAAGAATAGAAGGAAAAGCAGTCAACATGGTAGCAGAAGAAGCAGAAGAGGCCAGACTATTGGATGTCAAAGAAGGGGAAAGCTTTATCAACTGCTGACAAGAGGTCAGGGAGGTTGAGAACAGAGAAGTCAGGAAATTAAGAGGAGACTATCCAATGAGAAGGCTTAGAGTGATGGGGCCAGAGCAGGACGCAGGCGCAGATGACCGAGTATTGTCCAGCATTTCGTATTTTATCCTCAGGCACAAAGGACGGTATGCCTCCCTAGATCTAGGATTCCTTCCAGGGCCCAGCCAAAAGTGGGCACCCGAGTTCGGAGGAAACAAAGATAAGGTAGCAAAGGCTGTCTACTAAATGGTGGGCCCTGCCCACCTGCCTCTAAGAAGGAAGAAGAGGAGGTGAGCAGAAATGGTTTCCTCCTGGTGATGTCCAGAGGCATCAGTGTAGCTCTGGAGGTGCACCATGGTAGCTGATGTACCGAGTGGGGGAAACTAGAAAGTCAGATGTTTGCTTCAGATCCTCCCCTTTTAGGAAAGTCTTAGATGGTAAAAGAATGTTTCTCTTGGGATAAGGATGTCTAATAAAGAGATAAGAAATGGTGAGATCTTCCAGATTCCTCTTCCAGGTGTGTGTGTGCACATAAGGGTTGCAAGGGCAAAGGAATTTTATGTGCATGTGCCACCATTTCTATATTGATAAGGAAAACTGAGTTAAAATTCTTATCAGGCCAAAAAGAAGTATCACAGACTATTTCATAATCAGCTCTTATTGTATATGGTACCATTTTGCCTTTCTGCCATGGATGTTGAGTGGCTTGACTTATGAGCAATGGTTCCAAACTGCCTCGCAGTGGGACCTCTTACTGATACAGACCTGTCCCCTTTAAGCCCAGCATTGGTCGCTTTCCCTGAGGCCGAAGGAAACTCGTGCTGCCTTTTACTTTCAGTCTTATATTCCGTAGCCCCTCTCCTTCCTAATTCATCAACTTATGTGGCAGTGCACTGAGCCTCCGGGTACTTGCTAAGCAATGAGCAGTGACCGGACTGTGGTGTGTATGAAACACCATCACGAGAGGGGCATCCGTAATCACAGTTATGCCCCACTTCGTTGCAGGCACTTCTGGACCCAGCTGTGTGACTGCTGCACTAGGGAACACCTGGAGCCACAGTGTGAATACTCGGCTGATTTTCCAGCACCTTGGTTCAGAGAGAAGACAGGTGAGTGCTTTGACAAAGTTCTGTGACTGTCAAGGCCACGTGATCTGTCCTGGTCTAGCACTGACAGAAAGCAGGCGGTAAGAACCCAGCATCCCTGTCTGCTCCAACAGCAGTTAAAATGAAGTGGGAGGCAAGTCACACAGAGGGAAAAACTAAGAACAGACCCCAGAGAGATAGCATGCCTCCTGATATTTGGCCCATACCTTGTAAGTGACCGAGGTATATACCTCTAGGGATCTCAGATTCTCTGTGTGTAAAGGGTGAATGATCACCCTGTTTGTCGAGCACTAGATAATTCATGTACAAATTAAATGGTGCTTTTTTTTTTTGAGATTAGCGTACTTTAAAAACCTAAGTCCAGACAGACCTTGCCAAGCGAATAAACTCTTCCCCAGATCCCGGGTACTTTGGCATGAACTCATAAGCCAGCAAGTAGTTCAAAGTACTGGATGATTGCTAGAGACCTCCAAAAGGATGATGACTTTCTCAGAGCTTCTTATTTATGGTTTCTGTCTTGGCCTCAAATGAGAATTTCCCCCTTTCACCCAGAAGGGTTCATTTCTACCCCTTTCTTCATCTTCCCTCCACATCCAAAGAAAGGACCACCACAGTCTTGACCTCTTTGCTAAGATGTCTCCTAATTAGGAAATTTATTTTCCCTGATGTCCCAATTCAGCTCTACCCTCCTCGTGGACCAGGTTCCATCGCTACCTCCCCTGCAAACAGAAGGAGAAGGAAGGCAGGGTGGTAATTCCAATTTGTTGGATGGGGCAGAATACAGAACCCAGATTTGCCTATTTTGCTAGACACATAACAAATTCGAGCTATTAATTAAGGAGGCATGCACTGTTACGCTGGTGGTCCTTCCAGCAGAGGTGGCGGGAAGGGAGTTGTTGCCCTTCACCTGCATTAGGTAAATTGGCTCTTTTTCAAGGAGTCAGGAATCATCGAAAACAGACCTGAGCCTTTGCCTGTTCCAGACATAACTTTCCAAGTGCCCTTGGTTACAGACCAGAGGATTCTTCTTGGTTTGCTCGGGACTGTGTAAATAACATTCCAGCTCGATGATGGACTCAGCCGTGTTCTGAGAAGATGGAGCTGCTTGTTTTCGTTTAGAAGAACATTCTTGAGTTTTCAGGCCCTGGCCTGCTCATTACCTACTTCTCTTTTCAGCAGAACACATCTGAAAATATTCCTGCAGGACCTAATGACCTTTGGTTTGCACCCCAGGTTATAAATTTTGTTAAATAAACCACGCTTGCAGCTACCCGGCACATGGTTAAGGACCTTCAAGCGCGGCTACCCAAACCCTTCCTTGAGGAGGCGTCCTTGTGCATCCATGCTGATTTGGTCATTCTCAGGGACCCTTAACCACACTCCTTGAAAACTTGGAGTTTACCTCTGCTTAGACTTTAGATGACCCATGCTGACTTTGTGATTCAGTCTGTCATGTGTGGTATCACGGATTCCAGGCTCCCATAACCCAGTTTTACTAATTCTAGTTAACGTTTATTAGTAAATAAAGAAGTTAGAGCCGTGTTTTTCTTTTTCATTGTTTTACTAAATTAACCAGTCATTTCTACTTTGTTAGTGTTGATAGGAAGAGGCTGGTAGGACAAATGCTGTTAGTCTGTGTCTTTGGTGACTGGAACATTTTGGTGGCTGTTGGTTCTTGGATCATAAGGTCAAATGCAGGCCACTGGGCGCGAGAACCCAGAGCAGAGCGAGGATGGATCAGCGACAGTCCATCGACTCAGGTCCTGTTGGATGGGTCAGCGGTGATTTCTTAGTGTGGAAAGGACAACTTGTTACTGTTGTTACTAATCAATCAACAACAGAGTTGAATGCTTTTGAATCATGTTTCGAATAATAATGAGAAATCGAAGTAAAGTATGACCAACATCAAAATGGCCAACCCAGGCAAAAGAACACCTGTTTCATTAATCTACAGAAATGTGCCTGCCTTTTGGGACCAGTTGTTAAATTTGTGACCGGATGGCTAGGACAAAGTTTGATATAGAAAGCACATCTCTGCCTGAGGGCCTGATGTCTCCTGACCAGAAGGTGTGCTCAGTGCGTCATTGAACCTTTCTCGTGGCCTCACTTCATGACAAAGTGGAGAAGCCAGATGAAGATAAACCTTTGTGGGATGTGTGCTTTTAAGGTAATTGCTCCAAACAATATGTCTTCCTAACACCACTTAGTAGGAGAATGTGCCTAGATCATTCCATAGGCAGACTACAGACCACCAGCTACCAGGGGAAGATACCAGGTATAGCTTTTGTTTGCTGCTTCTTTTTTTCTCTCTCAATGCTCAGGCAGAGGCCCCCACACCAAGGGATGAAGGTTGTGGAACGAAGGTTATGTTTTATCGTGTTTCTATGGCATTGAGCTCACTCCAGGGCTCTTGAATGTGAGGCTTAGTCTGAGATCACAGAGCTGGAAGGGGTTCAGATCAAGGGGAGCAGATCTACCAGCTGATTAACCAGGAGATGAATTGTATAGTCCAAGGGAAGGAGTCCTCCCTGGCTGGTTATTTTCTTTACACCCTGGAAACGTTGTAAAATTATATAACCAAGGAAGAAACCTCCTTATCAGGGCACAAGCCAAGTTAATTCTCTTGTTTATTCTGCTTCAGTGTTTGCAAAAACTCTCTTAAGAAGCTGGGAAGCATTTTCTTTTGGACTAATTTAGCTTTTTTTCCATTTGACATTTATTTACTCTTTTCCTCCTCTGCTTCAATCCCGCCCCACCCTTTTTGCAACATTTTTATTCTTACCAAAGACATGTCCTTAGAGTTGAATTAAAACAGCCACTACTAGGGATTTTTGGTTTTGTTTTTTTTAGTGGCTTGGTTTTGTTAAATAACTGAAAGTATGACTTGGTTCGCCATGTGCGTGGTGTGGGGATGCAGAGAAGTGGAAGCCAGTTCCTGCCTTCAGGTTTCTTCTGGTCTAGTGCAAGAGATGGTCGGGGCACGCAGTCACACGCACACATGCAGACACACACACTCATGAGTGCTCTAAATGCAGTGCGGCAGCCTAAGGATGAACTGATACTGGCCGACTGTCAAATGATTGGTTACCTAATGGGCAGTTAAAACAGCAACTGCTTTGAATCCTGAGGAAGGTCAACTCCTCAGAGGCAGCTCAATCAGTCTTTTCAGAAGAAGGCGGGACTTGAGGATCACTTTCAATCTGCGTTTCTGAAGCCTGGGTGCACTTTAGACCTGTCACTGGAGCATTTACAAAACTCTAACACCGGGGCCTTGCCCTGAAAAATAAAATCAAATTTTCTGCTTGGGAGGCCAGGCGTCAGTGTATGTTTTATTGGTAAAGCTGCTCCAAGTGATTTTACTATACAGCCCAGTGTGGCAGCCCCTGTCTGAAAGAGATCAAATTCGGTTACTAAGGAAGGAAAGGGACGGTGTCAGGGTGAGGAGGAACAGCAAAAGAAGGAAAACAGGAGGGCAGATCACATGCTCAGAAGACATGGGCTGGCTTTTGCCTTGCAGCAAGATCATAGGGTTTACGCACCCATTCGCTTGACAAACCATTTCATCACCTCTTCTCCGCTATTAACTGTGTAAGATGCATATAAGAGATTTGAAATATGAGTAAGTTGATGCCCTGCCGTTGTTCGCAATCAACTTGGAGAAATAGATAACCACATGCACAGTAGGTGCTGCATGAGCCTCATGAGTCGAGTGCTCTAGAGGCGATGGAGGGCCCCATGGCACAGGGAGGTCCTGTGGTGATGAATGAGGCAGCGCAACCAGATTGGGCTGGCTGGGGCCTTCCCTGGGAAAGCTCTCACAGAAACCTGGTGCCTTGTAATGCGGGACTGGGAAAGCCAGAGTGAGGGTGGTTATACTGGAAAGAATGATGAAAAAGCTTGATGAAACATTCATACTATTTCTCATCAAAACCTCTTGAAGTCCATTCCTACAAACCACATATGGGATTATATAAATTTTTAAGTGCCCTAGAAGGAGCAAATTAATCCCAACTAAGCTTCACACTCCCTTGATGAAATAAATATTATGACTCTCTTATTTCAACAAATTGGAAAGAGGTGACTTTTTCTTCCAGAAGGTTTATTTAAATGGGCTTTATAACAATATTTTCATCATCCTCTCAGAAGGCACCCTGACGTTACAGGGGAGAGACTAATAAGAGACATAAATCGTTGATGGGGCCAATAATATTACTCAAGCTCCTGATCCTTATTTGAATTCTTAGGCTTTTTTCAAAGTCCCACGTTGTTCCGCATCTTGGGAGTATTCAGTGTTTCCTTTCTGGTGATGTAATTCTTCTTTCAGTGTCCGTTTTGTGTTTTAAAAGATAGACACCATCATTCTGGAGACTTCCTGACACCCCAACCTCAATCAGTCCCGCTTCCCTGGGTCATGCCCACAGTGGCACCCAGCACTGTCTCTGTTCTGCACATGTGAGTCCCTGGTGATAGGCCCCTTGGGTACTGTGACTAAATCATATCTACGTACCCTCAGAAGCAAGGTCAATGCTTGACACATGCACGTTCAATACACTAATTTCGAAAGAGAGAGAAAGAAAGAAGGATGCAAACTCCTTGTATTCACACATGAGCCCAGTCTTGAGGAAGGACATGCTACCTATTTAGAATCATTCTTCCCCATAGCAGCCGAATTTTGCAGTTTAGTAGTTCTGGTAACGTATTGATAATTGTTAGTTTAAACAGTTAGCATCAAACTGGACAATAACAAGCAGATACTTATACAGAAGCACTATAAGAATACTGGATACAGGACTGCCTTTTGGTGGAGCCAGCTGGCTGGGGGCTACGGGAGAGTGGGAACTGGGCTTCCCCTGAAACCCTAGTTGGGATTCCTTCGTGTAAGCAGGCCAAGCCCTGAACGTGGAGCCCGTGGAATGAGGGGGGTGGATTCTGCAGCTGCCTGCAGGGAAGGGGCAGCATGGAGGCTCTGGCTGAGGGTAAACAGTCTTTGTTGTCATCTTCCA